TCCTCTCCAGCATCTATAGTCTCCTGATTTGTTCATTTTGGCCACTCTGACTGGCGTGAGGTGATAGCTGAGTGTGGTTTTGATTTGTGTTTACCTGATGAGGAGTGACGTTGAGCATCTTTTGAAGCCATTTTAATAGCAGTAAATTTTTACTCCTCCCCCCATGTTTTATGTATATGATGTCATATTTTACATCTTGTGATTTTGTGAATCCCTTGACTGATTTTTATTGATAATATTGATTTTACTGTTTTTGTCCTTCAACCTCCATAGTGGTTAAAATACTTTTATTATGTTTGTATTTACCTGTGAAATTTTTTCCACTCACAATTTTCTTACTCCTGATAATGGCCTTTTCTTTCCATTCAAAGAATTCCCTTTAATGTTTCTTGTCAGGCTGGTTTCTTTGTAATGAATGAACATCTTTGAGTTTTGTTTGTCTAGGAAACTGTCTCCTTCTATTCTACATGATATCCTTGCTGGGTAAAGTATTCTTGGATGCAGATTTTTTCCTTTCAGCACTTTGAATATATCATGCCACTCCCTTCTGGCCTGCAAAGTTTCTGCTGAAAAATCAGCTGATGGCATTATGGGGTTCCTCTTGTATATAGCTCTTTTCTCTTTCTTTTAAAATTCTCTCTTTGTCACTGGTTTTTATCATTTTAATTATTATGTGTCTTGGTGTGCACCTCCTTTGGTTGATTTTGTTTGGGACTCTCTATGCATCCTGGATCTGGATATCTGTTTCCTTCCCTAGATTAAGGAAGATTTTAGCTATTATTTCTTCAAAGAAGTTTTCTGCCCCCTTGTCTCTCTTTTCGCCTTCTGGAGTCCCTATAATGTAAATGTTATTATACTTGATGATGTCACTGAGTTCTCTTAACCTATTCTCATTGTTATTTTTTTTTTTTCTTTTTGCTGGGCACCTTGGTTGCTTTCCATTTTTCTGTCTTCCAGGTAGCTGATAAATTCTTCTGTCTCTAATCTGCTGTTGATTCCCTCTAGTGTATTTTTATTTCAGTTATTGAGTTTTTCATTTCTGATTAGTTCTTCTTTTGGTTCTGATTGGTTCACTTCTGATTGGTTCTATCTCTTTGTTGAAGGTCTCACTGAAATCCTCCACTCTTTTCTCAAGTCCAGTAGATATTTTTATGACCATTACTTTGAACTGTTTGTCAGGCTTATTGCTTATCTCCTTTCATTTAGCTCTTTTGTCCTGTTTTTTCATTTAGGACATATTCCTCTGTCTCCTCATTTTGTCTCTCTGTATTTATTTCTGTGCATTAGGAAAATTAGTTACGTCTCCTGATCTTGAAAGTAGTGGCCTTATGAAGAAGAGGTCCTGTTGTGCTTTGTAGCAATGTCCCCTGTTTACCAGAACCAGGTACTTCAGGGGTCTCTCCTATGTGGACTGTGTGCAACCTACTGTTGTTTGTAGCTGGATGAGCAGCATTTGCCTTCAGTCCACTTGGCCACAGTGGCCCACTTTGCCTGTTGTGGGCACACAGAGAGCAAGGTTTGGTCCCTATGCTGTTAAAGGACCAGTCTGGAGCTACCCTGGGCTTATAGTTGGTTGGTGTCACCAGTAAAACCAGAAATCTGCCCTCAGCTTGTTTGCTGGTATTGTGATCACACCAAACTTCAGGACACTCTCCCTGTGTTATCCCTGGAGAGGCTTTTGTTGGTAGGAGGAGCCTGCATTCAAACCAAATGCCTGCTCCAGTCCATGTGTTGGGGCTGCAGTGACCACAGACTACAGGACTCTCTCTCTGTGCTGCCCCCTGACAGGTTTCTGTTGGTGAGCGGGGCCAGCAGTCAGATCACATGCCTATTCCTGGTTCATCTGCTGGGGCTGCAGAGGCACTGATCAACAGAGCACTCTTTCTTTCCTGCCAGTTAACAAGGTTTGGCTGCTGGGGCTACATTTGAACTGGTGTGTGGTTATCTTTCCCTCTCCTCAAGCAGGAGTCATTTTGGAGTGCAGGTGGTCCCTTCCAGGGCTGCTTACAGGATAAAATGTGGCAGGAGCTGCTTTGGAGAGTAGCCCACCTAGTGGGGCAGGTTGGATGGGGGTAGATCCACAGGAGAACACAGGGGCAGGGTGCGTGGTGTTAGTAAGGTAGGTAGAGGACGTTCTCACTGGTTCCCACAGGTGTCCTGCTATCTAGGCTGGGGATAGGGTGGGGGTGGGGATGGCACCCACCAGCTCTTTTGTTCTTGGAGAAGTCTCCTAAAGATCCCTGCCTCAGATTAGTAAATAAATCTCCTTCCTTGTATAACGCAGGTGCTTTTCAAACTTCTGTTTCAATGCTTTATCTCAACAGGGTTTTTTGTTATGCTATGTTTGTCTCTTTAAGGGCAGGAAGTCAGTTTCCTATTGTTTTCTGGTTCCCTCAGAGCTAAGCCTGCTGATTTTTAAAGTACCCAGAATTAAGCCCCACTGTGTTTCAAAGCCAAATATTATGGGGGCTTCTTGTCTTGCCAGTGTAGTTCCCTGTGTCTGAGGTGTTTAGTATGGGTTCTGCTCCTCTCCCTTCTCAGTGCTTGTGGTGTCCCTTCCATTTGTGGTTAGTTTCACTGGGAGTTTGTTTCCTGACCATGTCTCTGCCCTTCCTACCCTTTCCAAGTGTGACCTCTTCTCTACAGTTAACTGTGGAAAGTTTGTTGTGCCAATCTTCTGGTTGTTTTCTGTGTTCGTTGCACTGATATGGCTGTTATCTAGGTGTATCTGTGTGATGAAGAGGGCGTAGGATCCTCCTACTCCACCATCCTCCCGGACTCTAAATCAGGAACATATTATTGACATTGCATTACATCTAAAAGTGTTCAGAGAAGATATGGAAATAGAGCTCTAGTTTAAAATGTATAATATCTCCTTTTAAAAATGAAATGTGTCTATTTTTGTGTTAAACAGTAAGAATTTACTCTTTGTGGAATAATGAATTAAATTGCATCTTTTTGACTAGTGATGAGGTTACTGTTTAACTAAATGTAACTTAAATGAAGTATGTTCCTTGCTCTATTATATATTTGTCATGTTATTGATTGCTGAGTTAGTAGATAGTTGCAAATATATATTTAATACTAGAGTCAGTTTCTCAAACAGCACATGAAATTTGCCATAAAAATTCATGTACGGGGTATAGCATCTTATTTTCAAGTTTGGCTATATTCTATGTCTATGTATAGATTTAAAGAAAATGTTATTATGAGAATATTATGTTCTCATTACATTATGTACTGATACCTGGAAAAGTAATTAAGTATTTTTAATGAAATTAAGGCCTTTTTACAGTTGCTAATTAATTTTCTCAACTATTTTAACTATAAAATTTGTTTTAAAATACATTTTAAATACACAAAGTATATGTGCAGATGTGTACCTTGCTACTAGCTGCCAAGCATAGAGAATCTTTGTGTTTAAGATGGGCTTGTGTCCCAGAAAAGGAGCTATTAGCATAAATGATACAAGGATTACATGGTATTCCCACATAGAGTTTTAATAGGACATTGGATTCCTGACATGTCTTTAATGTGACCATAAGACCAAAGTGCTATAAACCAGTTGAAACAAACAGTGTAACAGCTTATTATTCACCAAACTTTCATTAAATACCTGCTAGATTACATGATGCTACTAATAAGCAAAATGGAAGATAAGAAAATAAATAAGCCATAGTTTCTGTTTTCAAAGAGCTTAATACAATACAGAAAGAACTTAGGGATCAGAATTTGAATTTTGGTCCTCCCCATCTTATTAGATACATGACTTGGGGCAAAGTCATTTAATTAGTTTTTGGAAAAAAAATTTCTGAGTGTCAGCTTCTTTGTTTATAAGAGGGGGATGACAATACCCTTCTTGCAGGATTGTAAACTTTAGAAGTAATGTATTTATGTAGCACAGTGTCTATCTAGCCCATGGTAAGTGGATAGTTAATGGTAACTGTTACCATTATTGGCTACCTCACCAGGAGTTCCTAATAAATATTCCTGTTTTTTTCATTTTTGCTTACAACCCATCATCCACTAATACTCTGTTTCATTCCATTCCATACACTATACTCTACTATACTTTACTCTACTATACTATAAAATTGTAGTCACCATGATATATCATCTAAGATGCAGAAAGTGACCTTTGTTATCCCTACTGAAATCAATCAGTAGGTGAATGATGGCTCATAGAATTCATCTTGACTTCTTAAAACAGACTTCAGTGGGCTTACTTGAAAAGAGAGCTTTCAAGACTGAGACCTGTTTTTTTGAAAATTAATTGAGCATTTGTTTACATGAAAACCATTCATAAAGATCAAACTTTGAGTATCTGAATACTAACTGATCATAAGTTTTCAAACTATAGTTCCAAAAGTTATTCACTTTTGTTAGGAAAATTCTCATATATACATAAAAGTAGAAAGAATAGTATAATCTACTCCTACATACTACCAATCAGCCAGTTCTAATAGTTATCGACTGAAATGGGGTTTAACAGAAACATTTCAATCAAAAATTTTGGTTCCATGGGGTGCCTGGGTGGCTCAGTTGGTTGAGCTTCCGACTTCGGCTCAGGTCATGATCTCACAGCTCATGAGTTCAAGCCCCGCATCGGGCTCTGTGCTGACAGCTTAGAGCCTAGAGCCTGCTTCAGATTCTGTGTCTCCCTCTCTCTGCCCCTAACCCACTTTTATTCTGTCTCTGTCTCTGTCTCTCTCAAAAACAAATAAACATTAAAAAATTTTTGGTTCGGTTTGTGTTATTATTTAATCCCATAATGTGCATGGATCTAGTTAGAATCCTACTTTAAGATTTGCACCTTAAGTTTCTTTTACTATTAATTCAGATTAATAGTTAAACATTTATATTCTGTAAGTATCACAGTTATTTTTAGGACACATTTTTAAATCACAGCATCAAAATAGAAGTGCATGGCTTTGTAACTTAGGGAGGGGGTAAAAAGTTAAATATGCTGCGTAGAATATATTTTTTTCTTTGTTTTTAAGGTTTGGCTTGAGCAACAAGTTTGATACTGAATTTCCCTCCGTTCTAACAGGGAAGGTAAGTGGGAGTTTGCTTTGAACTTTTTGATTCTAAAAGCATTGTTTTATAGCTTATTCAGTGTTATGATAAATGCTTTGGCTCACAGGTAATGAAGTCTAATAACAAGGCCAGAGTACCTGGAGACTGTGTCATTAGTGACTGAAAGCTGTCACCATGACTACTAGTCTATCTTGTTCATTGTCCATTAATGCCAGCCATTATTTATTTATTAATTTTTCCCAGTTTTGCCTTTATTCTCAGCACTAGTAGCTATAATTCTTCTCATTTATGTCAGTAATCCCAATGTTTTTAGAGTTAACTAAGTTATCATTGTTTAACTTTGTATCACTCTATTATTTTTAAAGTGTCTTGCAGTATGATTTGTTACTATCAAAAGAATCAGATGTTTGGTTAGACATTTTTCTGCCTTTTAGATAGTTTGAGTTTCTAAAATTGGACTCACTGCAATAAATTACTACCTTTCGGTTCCCTGGCTTTTCTACATTCAGTAGTATGTTCAAGCTTGAGGCTCAGTATTCAAAGACTTCCTAGGATTTAAAACTATGTTTAGAAAGTCCTCTTATAATAGTAATGCTAACTTGTAAGTCCAAAGGAAAAGGCTCTAAGGCAAAAAGTTATTTTCACATTTGTTACTGGAGGGAATGTAGATGAAAGAGAAAGGCAATTATATCACAAAATACTCAATAATTTCCAAATGGTTAATAGCTGAATGCTTGATAGCTAAAATGATGATTTGGGGTTAAAAATAAACTAACTTTTTTGTATTCTGAAGCCTGTGATTTAATACTGTTCTGTTCAGTTTTAGTACTAGAACAATGCTGTTTGTCAGTGTAGATTTGGGTCAGATTTAAAATCATTCAATTCTCTAAAGGGCTTTTATTGTAAATTTGTATTTTTATTGTTAATTTTTCTCATCTTGTTAACGAGAAGAGCAAGGTGCAAATCAGTGTCTGCAGTGTGTGTAACAAAGGAGAGAAATAAGCACATTGATAATTGTATAAACAAATTCTAGAAGGGTACACAAGGAACTAAATAAAAATGGTTACTTTGATGGGAGAAAGGGAATGAGATGGATGGAGGCAAGGGTAAGGATCAGACTATTTTTCGAGTATCTTTTAGTGTTGTTTTGATTTTTGAACTATGTTACTATATTACCTATTCAAACCCTAACTTACTTTAATTTGTCCTCTCATTCTAAACTCTCTGAGAACAGGATACAATACATCGAATATTGGTTGTTTTTAATCATGATACGTTTTCCAGCTGCTTACTTTTCACTTTTGGCTGAATCCCAGTCTTCTCCCCAGCCTTATTAGAAGGTAGACGGGGAGAGAAAGACAGCAGACCTATTTCTTTCTTCAAGGGTTATCACTAAAATTGTAAGAAATTCTATTTTATTTAACCCTGAAAGGTATTTTATACTTTATTTTCTTCCTTTACCCGCTGAAAAATGGGAGCTAGCGAGAGATGGTATAGACTGGTTAAACTTTGACATCAGATCTGGGTTGGAATACAAGTCTGTCACTGGCTTTGTTGCCTTGGGCAAGCCACTTCTCTGAGCTTTAGTTCTTAATGTGAAAAATAGAGATGATGATAATAGTACCTCAGTTCTTGTCATAAGGAATAATTGCAAGAGCATATATAAAACTTCTAGTATGTCAGGTACTTATTAGCTTCCCAATGTAAGTTTGTGGTTGTTGTTGACCAGTTTTTAGCAGTGTATCCCAATTTCAAACCTGATTATTTATTTCTCCATTTTTTTCTTACCAACTTTCAATTTTTAACTGCTTTTGCTACTTTTACATTCTTTATTTGAATAATAGTTTATTCACTGGTCCCACTAATAATCTGCCCTTTTAACTGTTGACTTTTTCTATTTCTCCTGAGGTATCAAAATTAAGCTGGTGGAAATAGTCCCTAGCCAAGTTAACAGAAAATATGTGTCCTTTTACCTTTTTAGGATAAAAGAGCCCTTTGGTTTGAGGTTTTGGCCTCACTCTCTAGAATGTTCTACCTTCCTATCCTGATCATTTAGAATAATTTGCCAATTGAAGCAGCAGTTCAAACTTAGATTTGTTTTATATGAATTAATCATAAATGTTTTCTCTAAAAAATAGCTGTGGAAAAATCTCTTGAATAATAATGTATTTGTGGAAAGATGACAAATTCAATATTAAAAAACTGTGAATTAAAACATCTCCAATGGAAAACTTGTTCTTTATGTTTCTCTGGTGTTGCTGCATGTGTTGTCTGGGCAGTTACATCCAGTTTTATTACTGGTTTGGTTTTTAAAAGCTTGAATTACAAGTCAAAGGAATTATAGAAGATGAATAATCAAAAATATATCAGAGAATGGAGTTCCCAGGCACAAAATTAATCCATCTTTGAAATTGGCCAGTTTTATGTGCTCAAGCAATCTTCTGAATATTTCTTCACACTTCATTTTTTTCCAAGCCTTCTAAAACTACAAACTCTGCCATCGCAAAAGATAGTCTAGTTTTTCTTCTTTAAAACTAGAGTAAGAATGTTAAGCTGCTTTTAGTATTCATTTACAAAACCTAAATGATCTGGACATGAGCAGTTCTTAAAGATATCCTCTCTTTTCAGGTGACCATTTTTGTAGCACATATCAATGATTGGATATTTATTCTAGTGTGCATTATTTAAAACATCCAAGATTTCTCATATATTAGATGAGGTATAAGTGATACTGTGATGTTTTTTTCTTGGTTTAGTTTTTGGTGATGAAAACAACAGTAAAAGAAATCCTGAAAGTCTGATTTTTAAAAGTCACATGGTGATAACATTAGCTGTATTCATTTTCTCTTTAATGAGACCATTTTTGTCCCATAGGCACTATTGTATTTGTATAGGTTATTATGAATTATCAAAATGCTTCTCTGATAACTGGAGGAAGAGGCAAGAAGAATTATATGAACCAGAAAAAAAAACTAAAAGGATTATCTGAATTTGAAACTTAGTAGTCTTTGTGTAAGATATTTAAAAATGAATAAATTGCAGTATCTAAAATAGAAAAATAAATCTACCTTTTACAAAATCAGTCTTTTGGGATGAATGGGATTCTAAATAGCTTTTATGCCCAACCTAAGCAAAATTGAAGTTAATTCTGAAAACCTAAAGAGTCATTTTGACAAGCTTTGTGACTCAGTATTAATTTTGTACTTATGTGTTAATGCTTCTAATACAAATAAAAAGGTAACCTTATATTTTAAGTTCAGAAAAGATTGTTTCCCCTGTTTCATTTAAGATAAGTCTTCCTGTCATGATAGGACATACCAAACAGGTACATACACACAAGATTATGGTGACCAGAACATGAAAGAACCACAGAACTTTAGAAAAGAAATAAAGCTTCCAGCCCTCAGCTGGAAACAATTAAATGGTATTATGGGGAGATTAGTGTGTGTGTTGGGGGAAACCTAAGCCATAAAATCGACCATTGCCATTGTGATCCAATATGACAAGTGATTGATAGGGTTGTGTTCCCCATGATTGAAGGAGGCAAAACAGTCTTGCTGGGTTTTGCTTATATTGTCTTCTGTTTGCAGAGTCTCTTGCATCCTGTTATAAAATATTATGACCCTTTCCCCCAACTTTATGATGTGGTTTTCTTTTTTCTTTCCAAGAAAGTCAAAAGGAATCAAATATTTCTTTACAACCTGCCATTCAGCTAGAAATTAAACGGCTCCCATCTAACCTTCATTACTAAAGGTTCTAAATTATGTAGAAGTAAATGAGTAAAACTCTGATTCCACACAGTTAACTAAACCTTTTTTTCACAATGTTTAAAATTGAGTTAACCAATTCTCATTTCCTATGCCTTTATCATTTGTTTTATGACTTTTACTGTTATTCAAATACAGATTTTTTTTTCAAAGAGAATCCTAGCATTCTTTTAAAGTCAAAATGCAGATTTTATTTTATTGTTTAAAATTCTGGTAAAAGTTTTATTTTGAATATATTTATCTTTTGACCTAAAAAACCCTGAATTCTCATTTGTAGTAACTTCAATATTGTAGTTTTTAGTTTGCCTATGGTAACAGAGCACTAATGGATACTATTATGTGTTAAATGTGGAAACTATTGGCAGGAAAGAAAGAAAATTGCTGCATTTTTTAAAAAGTTTTGGTTAATTCATTTACAGAAGCATGTAGTAAAAGAAAACTTATATAACAAATTTTATATACCTTGGCATATAATTTATTCACAATATTTTAAACAAAAAGCAAGTTTTAAATTTTGGACTGATTCATTTCTGGCTTAGGCTTTATGCTTTACTTTTATTTTTTTTATCTGTGCTTATGCACTTCTAAATAAATATCTTAACTAAAAATTTTACTTCATTTTTTAAATTTATTTTTTAATGTTTATTTATTTATTTTGAGAGAGAGAGAGAGCATGAGCAGAGGAGGGCAGAGAGAAAGAGACAGAGGACCCAAAGTGGGTTCCACATGCTCTTTCTCTATCTCTAAAATAAAACATTAAAAAAATAAAAATTTTTTAAATAAAGATTTAAAAATTTTGTGACTAGACAGATTTAATAATTTTGTGATTTACATGAGTTTATATCAAAATTTACCATATTTCAAAAATGTGTTTCTGGATATGCAATTTAAAGAGAATTGATAGTAATGCTATATTAGACTAGAGCTAAGTATATGAATATGTTTTCCTTATTTTAATTTCTATTTGGTTGCTCAGTAATTCACTAGAAAAAAAGTTGAATCTCACTGTCTGAGAGCTAAATCTTTTTTTTTTTTTATTTTTAATGTTTATTTATTTTTGAGAGAGAGGGAGAGAGAGAGCACACATGTGAGTAGGGGAGGGGCAGAGAGAGTGAGACACAGAATCCAAAGCAGCCTCCAGGCTCTGAGCTGTCAGCACAGAACCCGACGTGGGGCTTGAACCCAGGAACAGTGAGATTGTGACCTGAGCTGAAGTTGGATGCTTAACCGACTGAGCCACCCAGGTGCCCC